TCGTGATAAGAATTAAATTTTATTAGTTGCCATAAATCGTGATAATTCTGTTATCAAAAAAAATATTTCGTAGAGCCAAATCTCCAAGACTTTTTAGCTATCAAATAGAATTTGATAGCAAATATGTATGTTTCTCCTGCCAAAATTTGGTCTCAAAATCACATTTTCCACTATCAAAAGCATTTAATATCAGAAAATATGGCACCAACCAAAACTGGTTTCACGCCAAGGTCTTTCGTGACAAAAAATAATTTGGCAACAAAGAAAGTACGTTTCTGCTAACATAATTGTGGTCTCAAAACAATATGTTCAGAGACCAAAACAATTGATAGCCTAAGACAACATATAATTACCAAATAGGTTTTTTGGTAACAGAAACTAGAAAATATTAAAGTGTTTTTTTTTTTTTTTTTTGAGATATGTTTACCTTACTTTTTTATTGTATCATGAATAAGTGAAATAACCTATCTAATATTATCAAAAAACTTATTATACGTCAAATGATTTACATTTTATTAAGTAATTTATTTATATAATATAAATAAATTTTATGTTATAGCTAATTAGTGTGCATACATATATATGTATATGATGCATAGAATGTTATAATGTAACCATATATATAAGATTAATTTTCTTTTCTTTTCTTAGATATATGCTGGTATGAAGTATATATATGCAGGATTTTAAACATATCTTACAAAAGAAAGATAGTGGTAAAATGTATTTTCTTTAAAAAAATATATATAACCCAATACACGGTATTTTCTCTAGAGCATCATTTGGCTTACTTATTATTTTAACCGATATGCCTTTCTGGAATTCATTTTTAAAGGTTCATCGTCTTTCTTGATGTATGTGAAATGAACACTTTTGGTCTCTCTGATAATAATTTTCTATTTTCAATCAAAATGTGATGTGTGAATGATAATTTACGGTTTTAAGAGAAATAAAATGATGAAACCAAAATAAGCAGATCTAAAAATATATATATTTCAAAAGATAAAGAAAATCAAATTTAAACTGGACAACACGATTTGATTTTTTATTTCTTATCTAATTATATATATATATATATTTAAATGTTTTTTCTTTTTCCAAACCATCTTATCTCTCTTAAAAAACTGTGATAACCTATTATCTTGGTGTTAGAAAGTGAGACAACTGCATATTCTAAAAGTATCAAAAGTAAAGCTAATTCTTACTTAAATTGTGAAGCATCAATTTTTATCTTAAATGTTTTTTTTTTTAAATAAATTAGTTAACTACATATATACCCTATTCGATAAGAAAAATTATAACTATAGTTCGTTCAATCAAAATTTATATAAAAAATTACAAGAATAACCATTGTTTTTCATTATCCTATTATTTATGCCATTAAAAAAATCTTCTGGTAGAATATGAAGAGTAGAAATCGACCATGCTATTACTACCGGGCTCTCCCCGTTGTTACGACTTTGGAAGGTTGAGATGGGGTGGCATCTGAAGTACAAATGAACAAAAAAAAAAAAAAATTTTAATTAACAAATTAATTAAGAAGTTCTCCTAGTTTTCTTCCTTTTATTTATTTATTTTATTTTATTAAATCACGAGAGGGAGTAGCTGATATCAAAGATAACTAGCACGTTTTGATAATGTTTGCACCGAGCTATCATATCATCTATATTGCAATGCTAAATTCGTATGCCAATGCTAAATTAATTTAGCATTTGAGTAGGAATATCATTCTCCAATGTAATGTCATTATTTGTGTTAGATTTGTCATAGCAAATTTGACATTTGATGCTATTGATTGATATGTTAGCATTTGAGTAGGAGTCTGCTGATAATTCAGGGTTAAGATTATCTTATATATGGCTACCGGTGGACTCAATTCGAATTTCTATATTTAACGAAAATTATTGAAATTCATATTGTGTCCTGTCACAGTCCTACATAATCTCACAATATCTCTTTATATCAATGACATGGATAAGCTCGTTCTATTTTTAATGAGAATAGCATGTAGTAATAATATTTTAATTAAATATTTTAAACTTTAATTAACTTCATTATAGACTCATTTTGATTCTTATCCGAAATATTATTCTCTAGTATATAACACTTATATACAATATTTTAGGTCACATAAATAATCGTAAAATTTTTAATAATATTTATGAAGTATACTAAATACATGTAAATACAATAACAACATTTCTCTTTTATTAAATAAATAATAATATTTTTATTATATCTCATATTTTTAACACACCATTCCGACAGACTTAATAGTGCCAAGCCAACCTACCCAGAATGAAACTTATGCCCATTTGGCCCGACGCATATTCAAAGCTCTATCCGTTCAAGGTTTTAAAAAATATCCCTCATATTTTGACTAGGTCCGCGTTCTCCATCTCATTGTTCTTTTTTTTTTTTTTCTTGTACTATTGTCCTAAGAACTTTTTAAGGAATGGCAGTTCAATTCTTTTTTTTTTTTTTTGTACCAATCTCAATTTTCCCTCTAAATTTTATAATCATTCTTACTTTACCTTATTAATTTTTAAAACTCCTAATTCATTCCCTAAGTTTTAAATTTTTCTCACTTAATTCCAACTACTAGAAATTTTGTTAAAAATAGATAAAAATGAAAGTGCTAAATATAGTCATTCGGTATTTTCCATTTCTTTTTTATAGAAATTTTGATGATAAGACCATATGAATAGTTAACTTTCTTTTTTCGTCTCTTTTTAATGAGAGCTCTAATAAAGAAGATTAAGTAAGACTAATTCATAATTTGATAGATAAAATGAGAGTTTTTAAAATTTAATGATATAAGTGGAAATGTCCTTACAGTTTGAGGGGACAAAACGGAGAATAATCCTTTTTTATTTGAATGGCTCATGAAATATTTTTTACAGTGTTGGTCATAAAATTGACAATCCACTCTTGAAATTAAATGGAAGTAGTGATGTAGCTTACTTAAAATTTTACAAGAGAATATTTACACGTTATAATAAAACCGTTTTTTTGTAAAATTTAAGGTTAGCATACCACCCTCAATTTTATGGTAATTAGGGAACAAATAGTCAAGAAATTTAAGGCTAGAATTCTAATCTAAATTTTTTGTATTTTTTTTTGTATTTTTTTTTTTTTTTTTTTTTTGCAATTGTAACTTATCTCCGTCAATATTAATTTGTTATTTTGGCTTTGCAATTCCTCTTTAAAAAAAACAAAAAACAAAAAAAAAAAAAAAAACCAAAAACAAAGAAAGCGCAAGGGATAGACATATTATTACAATTTAGGTCTAAAATTTTATATGACAAATTCTAACAATTTGAAACCAAGTTTTCTTTACTAAAATAATGTTTGGTATATTATAATTTTCTTTCAAGACAAGTGAAACGTCAGAGAAGAAATATTTAGGCTTCGTTTATTTTACCTATTCGAGTTTTATTACAGTAAAATGCTCTTAGAAATAATCACATCTAATTTTTTTACTATAGTAAAATGCTCTCATATAAAGTCACATCTCAAATCAAATTAAATACTCGAATTAACAAAGTAAACGGACCTTTAATCATATGATTTTCTTAACTAAAATAACTATCTTTTGAAAGAATGTACATGACTGAAACACCCATCGACACAACTCTATCCATATTTTTCCGATAATAAGTCCAAATCCTTGATATATACAAGGGGATAAAGATATTTTCTTTTTCCCTTGAGTATCCTTGAAATATGGATACTTTCGGCGCAAATATAGAGGTGGAAAAAAAAACCCCGGCATTGCCATTATAATGATCAGATTAGTCATGTTAACACGTTTCGTCTAACACATCTTTTTGTTTTTTTAGTGGAAATTTCGTCTAACATGCTTAAAACTTGGAAACGTAAGTTAAACCAAATTGATTAGCAAGAAAAAGTACAAAACAATTGTATTCCGTCAAACATATTTAATATGAACATATGGTTTGAAAAGCTAGCGGAACACGTCTATATACCGTACCAAACTCTTATTTTCTTTCCATCATATATGTATTGCTTGTAGAGAAAACATATTATATATATACATATATATATATATACATATATATATACATATATATATATATATATATATGTGTGTGTGTGTCTGTGTGTCTATATATAGATGGGTGCGCATCCTCACAAGATCCGGCACGCATATTAATTTAAAGTGCAGAATTAATAAATTGTCAAATATAGCTATTAAGTTATGATCTTATCTTATAAAATATACTACGTGTCAAATTTTTTCATGTGTGTATTCTATGAGTTTGTCGCATTCATGTTTTAATATTTTAGAACTCTTTCATCTACAGATTTTTTTTTTTTTTTTTCATGAATTCGCTATCACTGTTAACCACGTTAAACATACAAAGGAATTGCGGAGAGGGTAATTATTCATAAAATACTACGAATTCTTGACGTCAATTGTGATCTCTTAGTTGAAAAATAAAAAAGAACTGTATTCTCTTTTTTTCCTTAATATATTTGTTTTGCTTGCTAATCGGAAAGAAATGGTCCACTACTCATCCAAAACGGTGAACCAATTACTTAAATTAACTGCTGACTCTTAAGATCGATAACTTAATTAAGCTCTTTTTTTAAATAACAAAAAAATGCTGGTCAATTAGAGGTTCAAAAAAGTACTTATAAGATGCATCGTGTGTTACGGGCACCAATTTTAATCTCAACTTTAATATTAATTTTTGGTCGTCATATATATTCTTATTAGTAAATGTAATCTCTTGTTAGTAACTGATGTTATAATATTTACTAAAAAAAAATAAAAACAACTCAAAGTTGGTAAAAAATATTGGGATTAGAATTGACGTCTCTAACATTTTTTTTTTTATAATAAAATATGAAAAATGATTTTGTTATTTCTGATATAACAACTCAAAGTTGGTAAAAAATATTGGGATTAGAATTGACGTCTCTAACATTTTTTTTTTATAATAAAATATGAAAAATGATTTTGTTATTTCTGATATATATGTGTGTGTTTATATATATATATATATATATATCAACAGTTAAAAGGGTACAACAATTGAAGCTGGTGGGACAATCTTTTCCTTTGGTGAGCAGTCCCACCCATCTTCCTTATTATAAGACACAATAAAATGCTTAGGGATCCATGTTTCACCTCTTGATTTTCTCTCTCTCAAAAGCTCCCTCTGTCTTTCCTCAACAGTCTTTTTTGCTTCTGTTGCTTTTCCCCACTCTCCACTTAATATTCCTTGGCTCACCTCACCCCATACTACGGCTGCTTCACTTGGCAACACTCCCTATATATCACATTGAAGAATAATATTGCAGTCACAATTAATTATATTGAAGGACTAATTATGTTATTAAATAAAATATTTCCGGTTTTTTTTTTTTGGGCAAATACTTTATTAGGATTATAATTTCATAAATGCCCCAAACTAAATAATGTAGTTCAACATGCATGCCTCTCGAATTTCAGAAAGAGTTAATATCATCCTTGAAATATACATATAAAATTGTTCAAGACATCCCCTAAAGATTTTGTGTCAACTTTCATTATGATTTTACTTAAAATCAATATTTTGGGGATATTTATGAAATTATAAGTAGTATCAAGTTATCATTTTGTTAGTATTAGAGACAGAGGGAGTGCTTTAAACAATTTTATATAATTTAAGGGGCTAAATGAACTCTTTTAAAATTCAAAATAAATGTTGAACTATGTTATTTAGTTTAGGGACATTTACGAAATTAATCCTAATTATTACAATTTGAGCTCAAGGTATACTTTCTAACAAGTAGGTGCACTAATTGTCAAGTTGTAGGGTATATATGTGGTCTCGTATAAATAGGAAACCGAAGAATGTGTTGAATGGATGGATAAAAACATTTCAAATGTCAAAGTGTTAAATGGATGAAGTTCTAGTCGTAAATGATTTGGAAGAAAAACAAAATGACATTTTTTAGCTGCCAGAGTTTTAGAGAGAAAGTCAGAGAGAGGTGCTCTGCAACAAGTTTAGAAGAGGAGTTCTCTAGGGTCTGTGGTCTGACTATTTATCAGTCTGCCGGCCTCTAACGTTCATTAAAAAGATCGCAGAGATCACTGGCGTGGAGTTTGTGCCGACAGAAGTGTGGATAGTCACCGAAATAGACTTCTTCAAGGGGAAGCAGATTCGATCTTCTACCTTATATCTAAGACACTCGCTGTGGGATTCCGTTAAAACTCTGGAAACTAGATCGTGGAAGGGAGGCAAGGAAAGTGGTCCAGAGCATGGGAGTCGCCGCTCATTGGCGGCGGCGCATAGGTCCCACACGCCGCCGCATCTCCGATGCTTTTGTCATCGTTTCAAGAGCTTTTATCTGGTGCTGCTCCTACTGTGCTTCACATACCTCTAGCGTTGAGACATTTGATTTTGCTGGTTTGATTTCTTAGGATCTTTATAGAGTTTTTTATATTTTTACGTTTTATGTTTTTATTTGTGTTACAATAACGGTGATGGTATTCTCATCTACCGGTGTTTGGTCTTGACTAAAGGGTGGTCTCCCTACTGCTCTAAGTCTGAGTTACTTAGTTCATTTTAGGATTGAGGTGTGGTTCATCTTGAGTCGTTTTGAAGTGGCCGAATCCTGTTATAGCGTTACTAGTCAGAGGAATTCTCTCTGTCATTAGAAAAAAAGTACGTTTGTATTGTCTATTCATTTGAGATGACTCTGATTTTATCCTTTATCTTAGCCCTTAGTGACTTTTTAATGATATGCTACTGCCTTTTAAAAAGAAATAATTGAAGTCGTATATATATATATATATAGCAATTTCTAGTTACCTTTGGATCCTTAACAATTGGAGTTTTAAGTCCGCAGAGGACTTCTTTTGCGTTGTATATAACTCTGGTTTCACCGCTATCAAGGTCCTTCAGTGTAATAGTTCTGCATCAAGGAAATTCAAAAAATATACATAACAAAGAAATAAAAGCATATTAGAAGATAAAGAATATACAATAGAATGCCGAATATTTTGGAACCTCTTCTGGTATTTTTCATGACTGAGAGACAGAACACATGTATGTAAACTTTCGGCAAACAGAGAATAAGATAGTTAAACTGTATTCATATCAGTATAATATCGGTTATATATATATATATATATATATAACCGATATTATACTGATATGAATACAAAGGTTCAAACCAGAACCTTATTATAGTAGCGTATTTTTTTTTTTCACTTCCTACCTTAGAATTCTCAATATATTAGAATTGTATGATTTATGAGTGAAAAATTAATGTATACCATGCCGGAAGCACTATGAGAGGTAGGTATTTGTATAGAATAATTTACTATAGAAATAAAATAAATAAAATAAAAAAACTACTAAAATAGTAAGTTCCAAATAAGTACTATGAGAGTAATATTTTTTTTATTTTTATTTTTATTTTTTGTTTACCTGTCCCAATGGCCACCAATCTCGTAAAGAGGCTTCAATGAAGACGAATCAAAGATCTTTCCCTTGATTGATCTGGCATTTCCTCTGAGTCCTAAAAACGATTTTCCTCCGTAGGTTAACTCGGCTTCAAGACCCGTCTCCGGGCATCGGATTCCGCAAGTGCCAATCCATTCAATTGCAGGAACAGGCAAGAACTTTACCCAGATTTTTGGAGAGCTCAATGTATACGTTTCTCCATGATTAAGGAGCTTCAACTTCCTTTTTCCATGCATTACGACTTCCACTGAAGTGCCTGCATTATTAGCTCTCATTAATCAATCCAAACTGAGAATGAACATATTTAACAAATTAAAAACAAAACAAAAAAAGAAAGGAAAGTGAGACCAATTAGTATTCTGATAAATAATTTATCTTATAGAAACTAACAGTCTGTTTGGTGGGAATGAAAACTGGAAGGAAAAAAATGTTGGAGAGATTTTAGGATGAAAATTGATAAATTGAGATGTTTGGTAAAAGGAAGTTTGAATGGAAAGGAAATTTGGGTGGAAAAATTAAGGAATGGGTCTCATTATATTTCTTCTTTCTACAAGTTGACAGAAAATAGAATGGAAAATGCAGACAGCTAATTAAAAAGATATGGTTAAAAATTCTTATAACTACTTGGATAAAATGGTAATTGTTCTCAAAATAATTCTTCTATTCTTTTTTTTTTTTGGGATATCTCTAATTTACATTCTCATATAATATTTTTTTTACTGACCTTGTAACAAGATAAATATGTAATCATCAAAATAAAAACAAGCATAAATACCGTAAAATTTGGGAGTTGGATGTAGACAACATAGAACTTCAAGGTTGTCTTTCTCATCAGTTGCATACAGGGCAGTAACTGGTGGGTGATGTGAAATCTGCTAACATTTTGCAAGAATAAGCAACTAGTACACTAGTTAAATTAGCAACAATAAAAAAAAAAAAAAAATGAATGAAACTTTTTTTGAAAGCATCTTACACACAAGAGTAGAGCAACAATAAAAAAATGAATGAAACATATTACGAGAACAGGAGATACTAAGCCCCGTTCATTTCGTTTATTCGAGTTTAGAATTCAAGTTGAGATGTGACTTTATGTGAGAGCTTTTTACTGTAGCAAAAAAATTAAATGTGATTGTTTGTGAGAGCTTTTTACTGTAGAAAAACGTAAATTCTAAACTCGAATTAACGAAGTAAACGGAGCCTAAG